TACGCCTGGATCGATAATCAAAGATCTTTAATTTTGAATTATGCCTCCCCCCTCCATCAAATTTTGAACAGCGATCATTGTTCATTTCAATAATAATATATTTCTCCAATAACTCTTTCCTTCGTTGGTGAAAGAATAACAGAAGTTGCTGTTAAGAAGAAGAATGATATAACACACTCTTATACCGTGCAGCCTGTTATATCAGCTGATGGTCAATTATTATATAAATTCTTCCTCATTCTCCAATAAAAGGAAAATGAATTGGGTAGAAGAGTAGAGAAAGAGTTAATTGTACCAGCAAATGTTGTCATACGGGCTTCAAAATCTGGAAAAAGCAGCAATGAAAAACATTGCACTTTTTTAAATGAAGTCCTACGTGCTTTGGTTGGCAGAAAATTCCTTCTTTTCCTTTATTGTTGGACAACTCAAGCTGGTCTAAAAAAATTTAGAGCAGTATTCCCACATCAAGACAGTCAATTATTGATTTTTCCTGAAGGATCAACTGGTTATATTCAACCACAAGATCTGTCCTTGTTTCGTTCATGGCGATTTATTCATGAGAAAATTGAACATTATGTTCATATCAATCGAACAGAAATGAACTTGAACAATCGTCAATATTTCATCAACATGCCTCTACCATTCACAACCAATTTTTCTCCTCCACAATTTAAAAATCTCATCAAGTCTGGATTCGTGCCAGCTAAGATACTCAATGAAACAATTGGTGAAATCAACAAACCAAAGCACATTTGCTTTAAATTGTATGACCTTTATTGTTTAGTCATTAATTGTGAGGAACGAACCCTTCTCATTTGCGCTTGGTGCAAAAGACACCTTTGTTATTATCATTTGATTGAAGATCTCCATCTCTAGTATCTCTTTTGAAATATTATTTTGTATAATGTATTAATTTCTCGTAAAATAAAGTCAAAAGTATTGATGAATGATAGATTTCTATATATTATAATCGATATCTCCTACTCGGTGCTGTTAAACTTCAGAAGAAGTTGTATATACAAAAAACGTAAATATTGTCAATAAAGCTCACCAAGATTTTGGAAACTCGCTTCCTGAAAATTTTGATTATTATATTAAAAGGTTGATGTGAATACTTCATATATTATCATGTTTCTATATCTAAACAATACATAGCATAAAAATTGAATATCTCTGCCCAGGTACGCCATTAGCAGCTCATATTTTAAATACGTTAGTTTCTCGATGAAAGTGATCATTTGACCCGAACATGATCAATCTTTTTGCTCAACAGTACACGAGGTTCCATTGTGAGTCATGTTTGTGCAATATTAGTAATTGAAACGAAAAAACAAAAAAGAAACACTCATGCAATACATTTATAATTTTTATGCGAATTCGTTAAAAATATCTTGTAGACCACAGCTAATGACAACTAACTGTCGTTTCACAAGATCTTTTTGACGAGTTCATAAAAGTCGAAGTAACTACCGTTTAACAAAACCTTTTGAACGAGTCGACAACGATCGTATAAATAGTCGTTTAACCGCATATTTTTGTTGGATTCATATAAAAATTATAAATTTTTTGCGCGGATGTTTGTCTTTTTTTCTTGTCTCATTTCATTTAGGAATGTGTGGCGAGTATAAATCATATATTGTTCGAAAGAGAAGAAAATTTCCTATCAAGTGATAAAAAAATATTCCTTTGGAAACGTGTTTATAGAAGAGTTATAGGAAACAATATTCTGTCCCGTTTTTCTGCATCTCATGAAAAGTGCGGATCATTTTTAAGGATGCTTCTCTTTCCAGTTGTGTCATTTCGTTTATGAATGTGTGACAAAAATAAATTATATACGATTCGAAAGAAGAGAAAAAGCTCTATTCTGGTAAAAAGACTTTTCTTCCAGCACTCTTTCTTCTATCAAAGAGAAACAGCGACCCACATTTGTCCGATTACTTTTGTATATTTTATTTACTTTCTAAAAGTAATCGCCTAACAAATGTAGTTTCTTTTTTACACCTGCACAGCTACTGTTATTGTTATTTACTGAAAAATAAGTAAACTTAAAATTTATCTATTTGCTTCAGCTTTATCGACCTTGTTGTATTAACAAGATAGCCAGCGGGGTTAGTGTCGCTTGGATTCATTAATTTACCTCAGCCGAATGCAAAAATTGAGGAAATTAATGTTGATGGTGGTTTCTAGTGCAAGATCTTTTGAAAGGGAAGTATTCAATTGACTGTTTCAATTAAATGATTATAAGTGTTCTGCACTGGGCATAACACAGGTCATGGTTCATTCTGACGATCCTTTGAAATACAGTTTGCAGCAGTTTTTGCGAATTGAATTGAAGTGATAATTTGCACGAGAGATTTAATAGAATGAGTTGGAGATCATTTTCAAATCTATCAATTAAGTTAAATTGCCTAACTCAGACAGGTCTCTTCCAAATAATACACGTGATATTAGTTCTAACAGGAACTTTTTTAAAAATCAGGGATATCATGAGGATGTGTCCATATTGCACACCTATTTTCCTAACTGATTATTTCGATATTGGTCATGCTACTGTCACTAATTTCATATTTTACATAACAAAAAAAATTTGTTTTAACAGTCGTGATAAGTTTTGCCAACCAAAGACATTATACAAAGCCCTTTACTAGAATGAAAACAATACTCCACGCATTCTATCGGGTGTCCCAGGAATAATGAGCCTCCCAGTATTTTTAAGATTTCCTGTCTATTATCACTGTAAGTAAAGCTGTCTTAATTATCAAAAGAAAGCGCTTAAAATTCTCTACAAAANACACGATAAAACTTTGCTATTAACTGCAATTAAAAAAGAAGAACACTGAAAAGTATCTATGTCAAATAAAAGAAAACTACAGTAGTGTTTTAATTTACACTTCATTTCTGAGTCTTCAGAATCAAAGTTTTATTTGTATACCGATTTTGAGTTTTTCAGCTGAATGATATTACAAAAGAATAAACATACTCTATGTGTTTATCAGTGATTGAGCGACTTTTGGATGAAATAGAAAAGTTATTTTTAACAGCAGCGAAAGATATGTAATTGACAAATCCAATAGTTAAAAAATAAATAAATTGAAATTTATTTAAAATGTGAATTCTCATTATATTAATTTATTTTTTCGTTTTAAATTAAACTAAATTAAGACGAAGAATATACTCTAAGGAAATACTGCGAAATCAGCTTTAGGAATATTCTATTATTGATATGGAAAATCTATTGAAAAGGAAATATATAGAAAATTTTATTTAGGGTGATCTATAAGGAATGTTCATATAAAAATCACATTTTTTGATCCCTCGCTATCCCTGTTCAGATTTATCCAGTTTCATCGACCTCCTCCTGGACGTCCAATAGTGTTCATTGATGGTAAAATTTTTTGACTCGAGCTCGGGATCAACCCGATCAATTCTAACATGCAGTACTAAAACCAAACTTTCAAAAAAGCCTTCTTATTTAAATATGTTGCTTTCTTTTATTAAATAACAGTACATTAAATAAATATATCCAAAATTGAAATCAAAACACATTTCATAAACGACAAGTAAAGGTATAACCTATTACAAAGTTTTCGTTTCTTAAATACAATTTACTTTAATGCGTAGAAAAAGTAAAAAAAATAAAAAATAAAATTCAATTCTAATGACAGTCGAAAATCTCACATAACTGCTCCATAAAAAAAACAATCTATTCACATAGTATACTTTTGAATTATATCAATATCATATCTAACTGATTCATTCAGTTCATTCTCGAATTAGAAATACTGTCTAAAACAACCCATGTCATGAAAATCGCGTCATTTTTGTCAATTAATCGTAATTAATTAGCGATTTTCCAAGACTCCATCAGTAACTATTATTGTATAAAATAAATATCTTTTTCTCCTACTTATTTATATCACCTGATCATTTCAATGAACAGTAAGTATTGTTTCATTAAAAAAAAATTTTTTTGTTCAGGTCATCTGATCGTTAAAGTGGTGCTCATGTAATTCGAGTCAGACAAAAACTAGCGGTACACAATGGTTTTTTTTTTAATGGTATACCATGCTATATTCTATTAAAATAGGATATGTACTTTTGAAGTTCATTAAAACTGACAGATTTGAATCGATTTCGGTGCAATTCAATTGATGTTGATGGATCCGAACTATCTGTGGTAGCCATAGAGTGAGATAATTTTTTTTTATTATAGAATTCTGAGACTGTTTTTTGTTATCCATGAATTTAAATTCTTTCTAATAATAAATCTGTTACTTTTAGAAGTTCATTAAAACTTTTTTTCATGAGATTTGTGCCCCAAAAGTGAAATACAGCATGAGGAGTTTATTTTTATGATGCGTTTTGATAGAAGAAGCTGCATCGTAATTTGGTCGCAGTCATTATCGAACTCTATTTTGTTACAACAGACATAGTGTATCTCAGTTTTGGTAGTGGAATATTTTTTTTAGGTTCATTACTGTGTGAATTTCAGTTTCATATGGACGGTTACTTGAGAAGAGTGAGTGATACTCAGGTGAAGTTAATTGTCTTCTTGCTATTCGTTCTCTTCTTCTCTCATAAGATCAATCGAGTGAAATTTCGCAACATGTAAAGAACAGCGCAAATAGAAAAAAGCACGACTTCCTTTTTTTGATCGTAGAGAGTAGTAAATTATTATTCATTTCTTTGCCGTTTAGTGCATATGCACTTAAAGTACATATAAGAAGAACATTAACATGCGTCATTTCAAGAGGCTGAGATGAATATACGTTATTAATACTGCTCTCGGTTGAATATTGATGTCTCTATTTTTACACATATGAAATACGATTGATGACTCGAGCAGGGCCTTTTTTTTAAATTTTATTGTTTGATTACAAGACCAATATCGACGTTATAAGCAACCCACTCGTTTTTCATATTTTACGCATCGTAATTTGCCTACTATTTAAAGACTTTGCACTCGAAAAACTGTCTCATTATACAATTCGATATTTGCAATGCAAAAAACACTGATCTTCTTTGGTCTCGTAGCTTCACTTATACTCATTGAGCAGGCATGCGGTGCTGAAGTTAGTAATTTCTTTGAATTAGTTAGCTATATGTTGATTGTCATTTTTGTGTAGCTAAAAAGTTCACCATCAGAATGTTGGAAAGCATGGAGTCGTTGTACGCCAGGAACATCATGGGGTACTGGTTGGTTGTGGCAATCGTGTCAAGATCGATGTAACTGCCTACAAGCTGAAACTGGCAAGTGTGAATCTTTTCCAAATACTTGTCCAGAAGTATTTGAAGGACCTACGATTCAACAATGTCGCTGTTATGGTACTCGTTCACCCTTATCTTGGTGGGAACGAGTGAAATGCAATCTTTGGCCATCATAAGACCTTATTCATTTAAAAACTACAAAACTTATTCTCTTTTGTTTATAAATTTTTTTGATAATTTGTAAAGAATAAAAAATGCTAACTTATATTGATTCAGATTGATACGCTATCATCAATAATCTTAGAACAATGATTGATACAAAATCTACTTCGTCGTAGAAGATATTGGATTTATCATAGTGTGTATGCCCATAGAATTGACTGGCAATTGTATTCTCATATCTAATCAAGTTATACAAGACAAAGCGGAAGACTTGTTTAAGCTCCTTACCGATTGACAATTCTATTAAAATTTCAATTAAAAGTTGCTAAACAGAAATGAGGCGGATGATGTGCAATGATATGAACTTTTTCTTCATGATCTTCAGCATGTTGCAACCATTGTGCAAACTAGAACAGTCTGTGAGTATCATTGCTATGTTGTTTTGCCTAAATACTCACCTACTGAAGTTGATTAAGTGAATCAGTCGTATTGACGAATCACCAATAGTTATCCAATGCACAATAGTTCATATTGAGCGACATCAAACGTAGATCAGGACGTATCAATGTTGTATAGAACGCTCCACGCAAAATACTCTCACGTGTGTCAGTGGATAGGCCAAGTTTGATCCAATTATCGGTGTTGAGAAAAGATTAGAAGGTGTTGTAGACAGCAGACAAGATAGAAATATAGGCAGACAATAAGAGCTAGGTGATAGTTATACCAGCTTCGTGATTGCCAACTGCCGAATAAAAGGTATTGTTCAGAAAAGTTTTCGTCAACAATTGATTGATAGTATTAATTGTGTAGATTTGATCGGCACGAGACTGATTTCATACATTATGAAGTGGCAAGTCTCCAGTGAAGTAGACGAAATCAATATCCTAAAAACGCAACACGACGGTCACTCGCTAGAAGTACAAGTAGGATTTCATCGATGACCTTTTCCACTGCGGCGACATACTGAACAATAGCTTCAACCGTCCAATATGGCAAGTCGCAGCCGCGATAGTCGCCTCTAAACGATACGCACATGATGTTATTGTACAATAAGTCAAACAAGACGTACAAGAAACCAGCACCTGCTTGGTCAGGAACTAAAAATAAATAAGGAATCTTTAGAATTGTCTATATACACAAAATACTCACGAGGTTGACCGAATCGACAACATTCCGCTTGAGAACCTGGTTGGTAGCCAAAGTCGACATGCATATCAGACAGATGAAGGACAGTCAATTTGGGCGATTCAGGCTAAAATAGAAAAGATCATCAAGTTCTTGTATCTCCTTCTATTGCATTGTTTCGTGTACAGTGATACTACAGTAAGAGATGATCTTTGCATTGCATAGAACCGTACTAGAAGGGTAAAGCCCAATTCAAATGCCAAGTTTCTGTTCAAACTTCTCGATCGTAAACGTCGACGGAAAATCAATCTTAGTTTGTTGTGTGGACTCATTCATTATACCTTCGTGTTCAGTTTCATAAATAGTTATATCAAAATCAAACGTGAAGCAGGTCCTCATGTTACTTGACGATGATAAAAATAAATGCAAGAAAAGTAAACACTTACCGCAGGAGGTTGAGGCGGATGTGGAGTTGGTTTTCGACCGGGCAATATGATATTCCATTTCAAGACAGGGAATTCAGCTTGATTCTTACAGTTCAAGGCAACAGCACATAATTCTTTATTGATGAGAGAAGACATACTAAGGACTTCCAAAACGCAATCCTATTTGATTGCAGAGTACAGAATATAGTATAATTTGAATGATCAAAAATAGTTTACTCCATATTCGTATACATCTCCGACAGAAATATCGACATCGAGGAATCCGAATTCTTTACAAAGGTTGAGAGTTAGATGTCGAAATTCTTCCGTTTGATTGGCTTCGATGATTAAACGCATCTGTTGCGCAAGAGATTCATTGTACAAAACGATAGAGCTAAGTTCACTTACCACGGGCACAAATATATTACAACACTCGGCGGCTTCATATTTATTTTTAAGTGTCCATCAAAGCTCTTTGAGATTGAGCGAATGCTCGACACGATGACGATAGTTGCCAAGAGCGACCGAACAATCTTCATCAGCATTTGTAGGACTGTTCACAATTTGAGCAATAACGTCTTGCTTAACCGAGCGGGCATCGATCGCTCTGTGCGCTGAAAATAGGGCAACAAGTAGAACAGAGGCAAAGTATATCATTGACAAAGATATTGTGAAGAAGCAGAATGACTTCTTAAAGAGAAAAAAAGAGAAAAACATAAGATTTCATTTCAGTACACCTTACTCTACTAAAAAAGAAGCATATTCACTATTTATCAGGAAAGTTCACAGGCATATGTTCAGATTTTCAACGAAAAGGGGAATTTTCTGAAATTTTGGACAGGCATTTGTGTTTCAAACTGGGTACTTACGAAATTTCTATAATTTCCGAAAAATTTTGGTGAACTCAAAGATCAGGGTTCAATTTTTTTATGGGTTCGGATTTGAACTGAACTCGTAAAACTGTTCAATTTTCTAATATAAATCTGATTGTTGCTCGAGGATATGTTATACGTTTGATTTATTTTTTCTTGTTCCATGAATAGCATTGTCTACATTTTGTTTAAACAGTCAGATACCGCAGCCGTAGGAATAAAATTACAATTGGTTCTCATCTCACGTCAATAGCTTCTGATGGAAGAAACAATGCGTATATAACAAGTGATGATCATGATTATTGTTCGAATATTATTGAAAGTATAGGCAATAGTGAAGAACCAGATAATATTTGGTCGGATTTATAGATTTATGATTGTAACTATGTTTACATATTATAGTCAGGAAGAACTTTATTGTTTCTTTTCTATTTTTTCAAAATAAATTCAATATTTTTGGAGTAAGATGAACAAGAATTTAAAGAAATTTCAAAAAAATTTTCAATGCGAATCGAAGTTTTTTCAATGCGGAATTGATCAGTAAAACTCTTCAGACCCGGACCCGGACCCGGCCCAGACTCGACGAACTCTACTGCAGATACTCTGCATATGTTTCGAGACATGATGAACAGTCAAAATTTTTATCTTGTTCAGCAAAAGCAAGTACGATTACCGTCAACAAGTGTCGAGAACAGGTACCTGCAAGCAAGGCAACGCTTCATTTTGCAAACACAAAAATGGACTGAAAGACTGGTTTCTATAGCGCGTCAATATGTTAATGTCATTGAGATCTGTATGCACATATGAGAGAGTAAGAGACAAGACCACGATATATTGAAAAGAGAATTCCGTGATCATTGTTAATATGAAGATCAAAGTATAACGCATAGTAATCGAAAGTCCGATAAACAATTAGTGTGGATGTGGGTGTGCAAAAACTCACCAACTACACACATCTAATGGATAATTTTACAACATGATCTATATTCAACAGTCAAACTCATGATCGCATGATATGAACCAAAAGAATGTGAAGGAAAGCCCGCCACTGTCAACACCAGCTTAATTGCATAGCATCCATTGTAGTAGAAGTTGGTTCATGCTTTTTTGTTTATTTCATGGAACCTAAATTCGTAAAGTAAGCTAGAACAGTCCATATGGCTAGTACAGGTGGTTCGAGCGCGTTCACAAATCGTATTTATCGAGGCCAAGATTTCAACTAAGATCTGATAATTTTTTTAGTGCTTAAAAAAATATCAAACATCAAGATATATGAAAAAAGTCAAGTACAAGAACCGCGGTTAACCGACGATTTTCGACCGGTTATCGTTTCACACACCCTCAAATTCTCAGTAAGGTTTTGATACGATCTTTGTAAGATTTTTCCACTTGAGTAGTTTTTCTGGAAAGATGAGGCGCAAATTAAACCACATTACGCTCTAAATGAGCGTGTTCGATAAAGTTCATGGAATTCTATCTGTATGTGTTGTTTTTGCTATGGAAACTAATTATATAATTGAACAAAACTCACTATTATGATTTATGAACACTTCATTTTAGTTCGTAGATATGTAATATTTATTTGAAAGTCCAATGTTGAAATCATACTTAATATCTTATCGATTAGTATTTATTTGAAAATGTTTTCCACTTCCATATTTCACATAAAATTTCAAGTTGACCACTCTCTAAGAAGAATTTCTTATGCCTGAAACATTCATGTTCTATAAATGTATTCACTACAGTTTTTATTTACTGTAGTTGATTAAAAAATATTATTATTAAAGATAAATCTAGAGTATTTATGTACAAATAGATCTTTTAATGTAATCATTTTATTTTAAAATGATGATTCAAGAATAATCGATACAGAGAACAAAAAAGAATTCAAGCTCCACTTAATACATATATTTCATCAAGACCAAACTCTCTTTCATAAAGACGACAGTCATCAATGGCACCTAAATAAGCTAAATCCACAATAGGTAATGCATTAGATGCACATTTAAAAGTGTTCCATTGATCCAAAGATGCATTCCATATGTTTGACAATAAGCAAGAACAATATAAGTCCAAACATCTTCAATAAGAACAGGATCTTGAAGTGCTTTTACGGTGAATACACTTGGTGATATTTGGACAATTAATGTACTACCAGCAGTCAAACCAAGCAAATCATAGCATGGTGAATTTATTCCAAACATATCAACACTAATATAAAAAAAGAACAGCACCTTTGATCAATGAGTTGCGTGTTGGTTTGATGCAAAGCGAAATTGAGAAGGCTTGATTTGTTGCACGCGTTGATGTCCATGCCTTTGCGTGAAAATAACTTGTTGATGTATTAAAATACAGTGTCTGATTGAAGTAACATTTTCAACGAATACAGTACTACTGGTTACACTAGAATACTAGTACGTTCCTTGTGCCACATATGGTGAATTTGAATCAAAAGGAAAGTATACAGTCATAGTAGCATCATTTAATATTTAACATGATGTTTGTGCCTCGCCCAAAAGCAAAACGAAATGATCCAAAAGACTGAAAAAGAAAAGAGTAATACTTAATGATAAGCATCGATCGATACCTGTTCCGTTCGGACCACATTGTCCAAAAGTACAAAAATCTGTTGAACCACCTAGCCAATAAAGAGCGATCCACATATCTATTGTAAAACTTTTTGAACTAAAATCAATATATGGAAGGACAATATATTGTTTCGAAGTTGGAATGAAATAAATCGCTTATCCAACGATGGCGATATCATAAAATCCTGGTAATGTATTTATAGATTGAAGTTGTCCGACAGCTGTTTGAACGAAATCATAAGCAGTACCATCAAATTGATAAATGAGAGTGATTACATATGGTATACATGTTGTTTTTGAAGAAATTGATGCAATTTCATTAGCAACGAATACTATTAAAATAATAAACATTCAACAAAACTTACAAAAGATTATAGTTTTTGTTTTCAAATTGAATAGAAATCTATTTTTGAACAAATATTAGTCTCGAGTGATTGTTGTCTTTCAACTAGATACGTTACATGTGAGTACATCTGGAGAATGTGAGACAAGACCTAGGCGAGTTTATCGAATTAATCCATTTTCATCGATCTCAATATCGCTAAAAGAGTTCGTAATCGAAAACGAGTCTGGATAAAATATGACTCGCTGTGCATATAACATTTTATTATAATTAATTAGTTTAGTAACAAATCGATTAATTATCATTTGAGTTGGTTGCGTATGGATATGGGTGCAAATATCAATGTGAAGATGAAAACATCCTATACCAACTCAAATGTCGTCGACAACAATGAACATTATCAATTTATCGATCTATGCATACTATTCGGTTAAATATTTATTAAATTTTTCTTTCACAAATAACATCAAGTAGGGCTGCTATTTGTATTGAATATAAATTGTATTCTCTTACATCATAGTTCAATGTCAGTATGCTTCAGAGATATCCATCGCAACTGAAAACCTTCCTTCGCTGTAATAAATTGACACTGTTAGATTGAATTCATCACGATTCTAACTGTTGGACTTGTAGACACTCAAACCGGATGCAAATTTATACGATTTTACAATCTCTCTAGAAAAAAGAAGCTGTCGCTACCGCGATAGTATGTTTGCAACATCTCCCATGCTGCCATCGCAACGACGGTAGAGACAGTGCCGTCATGGACATTTATCGTGTGTTCACATTTAAACGTTTCGCAACAGAGAGTTGAAGTTTTCCTTCTTGGCTGTATAGTTTCAGATATTATAGTCAATAAGAGTTTTATTTTTTTCTTTTACATTTCTTTTACAAATAAATTAAAACTTTTTCAAATAAAACGAAAAAAAAATTGAAAATATCCTTCTGATCCGGATTTGATTAGTAAAAAATGTCAGATCCAGATCTGATGAATTCTATTTGTCACACAAATCATAACAATGTAAGAAAGTACGTGTTAGCTCATGCAACATGAATAAAACAAAGAGAAGCGTCGATCTATCATTCATTGTCGAGACACTTAATGAATGGATTTTTTAAATTCCAATTTTTTTTCTGGTTCTGTACGAGCACACGCTACTCTATTTTGAAATTTATTAAACTAGTAAATGAATGATCTGCTCTATCTGAACAAAATGTATCTGATTAGAGCTAAGATGATATCAATCTCAATGAGTAGTCAAACGTCGAATGATAATTTACATATAACATCTGATTTTTACAAAATATGTATAAGCAAAGTTTGTGTTCGTGTAAAATAACGGCTAAAAGAAGATAGATGTGAAGTTTAATATTTTTTTTTTTATTTATCACCATTTTTTAGGCTCTGACTCGACAGATTTTTCTTCGATTGGTGAAGAATGCATATTTTGTTTGTTTTTTGTCTGGTTCGATATGAATGTTTTCCGAATCGACGATGGACATATGTTTTCGGATAAAGTTTGAATGTGTTGAAGATAAATTTTTGAATTCTTGTTGAGGAACTCGAGAGACAGTAGATAATTTGTACTCATGATACTTTCTTGATGTTTGAACTTCAACAGAAGACATCGTGTTAAAATGTGAAAAAAACTTTGTATGAAACAATTGTTCTTTTTGTTCGCTTTTATAATCTTTTCATTGTTTATACTGATTGTAATGTAGTTTATAGTTTTCTTGTTTTTTTCAACTCTCATACAAAATACGCAAAGTCTAAAATCTCTAAAAGACGATAGTTCTTTTCAACAATAATCAATTGTCAGCAAATATTCTGTCTTTTTTATTTCTATATGTCGAACAGAATTTTTTTTCTGTTTTTTTTTTGACTGGCACTCTTGTTTCACTTGTCTTCTTACTATTCGGTTGATATTTACTTTCTTTTTTTTTATTTGCATAATTTATTATTATAAGTGGGACAGCTGAATTAATGGGCAAATAAGCCTGTTGTACATATTCTTTATATCTACAGCAGATTTTAACAATCTAGTATGTGTATTGATAAATCCAACAAGATTAAAGTTGAGTGTACTCGAAATTTAGAACTTAATTCGTTCATACATTTATGTTGATCATATGACAATTGTGAAAAATGAAAACATCATCCTTGATATCTATCATATAATCATTTATCTATACAATAATCAAAAACTGCATTATTTAGAATATTAAAAAATATATTTCAGTCATTTTAATTTCAATGAAGCTTCTAGAATCTCCTGATAATTAAGAAATCAACTCATAGAAGGTTGACATATTTTTAGGACAATACAACCGATGACCACTGAACAATACATCCCATTTGGTGGTCAACCACCACCTGATGCAAAGTCAGTCACACCTCGAGAAATTAAGATAAACATGGATGATATTGAGGATATTGACATTAAGAAAGCAAGGTGAGCGAAATCGAGTTTTTATAACATATTGATTTAAAGCTAACTTCATTATTTTATTAGATGAGCTGAACTTTTGCTTCCATTACTAGTCGCTCTACTTGCACTTGCCATTGTTGGCACAGAGTTTGCTGTTCCTCTGATTCTTAATCGACAGGCAACAAGTTAGTTTATTATTATTGACATTTCAAAACAAAAATTGAATTCCAATGTGTCTAAAATTACTAAAGATAAATCGAATTCATATATAACTTTGTAAACCAAAAGTAAATAAATCAACTTTTTTTCTCAATTTCATTCAGATGAATTAGAATATTTGTTGAGAGTTTGTTGAATTATCAGATAAGAATTGAATGAAATTAGAGAAAGACAAAATCAAATTGTAATTCATTTAATACTAAATTATATTTCTAGGCTCCTTGACAACTTTTGCAGGCGACACATCAATGACAGTGACCACGATGACAAGCAAGATATTTCTTTCCATCTTCACATATCAACAAATCACACGATATAATAAATTCTCTACAAAAAATCTAAATCTAAAAAGTCTTTTGAAAGGGACTGACTCAACCAGCAATCATTGAGAAACGAGCATTTTTCCAATAGGATCTCTACTAAATACATAAACAAGTCTTCATATTAGCTAATAGTGCTTCACCATATGTTCTCTCACCATTCGGCAGTTATGTTAATGTTCTAATCGATGTTAACAATTGATTATACGGTGTTAAATTATTCAAGTTGTTCAGCTGATACTAGTAATAATGCACCTGGTATCCAATTAGCCAACAGCAATGGATGATAATTTTTATGGTGTTACGCTTTCGTTGAATATCACAGTTTGTGGTACCACAACTGATATTGTTTATGTAACAACGAATGGTGGAAGTTTTCTTATGATTTTCTTGCTAAAAGCGAATAGATTTTCATCTCATTATTATTCATCTTTGTCTTTGATAGGCCCTTTGTTTTGGTACGTGTGCTTCTACTTACCCTGAAATTGCTTTGCCTACAATATATTTTACTGGCGTAACAGTTCTTCTTTGTTGGGATGATTTATTTATTTATTCGAGCATGTCCCAAGGAATTTATTATGGAATAGAAGGAAATGCTTCGAATTGTACACTTATATTTGAGTTTTATATGAGCTATTTTAGTCAATCATCTTAATACTATCATTTTCAAGTGATCTTTTTCGAAGGAGTACCTGGTGTTGTTAAGTATAAATATTATGATCTAAGTGATGGAGATATTACTTGTATTGTCGGTGTACAAGGTAATCAAACGAAAGAATGTTTCTGCTTTATTATTGTATTTGTGATCTTCTTTTGTAGCTTCAACTAGTGATCCATTCATTCAGTATTCTTTCGATTTAGCCAACTCCGTTCAATGACGTATGATGCTCACACTTGATACCAATCTTGGTACATATACAAATTCAACCTTTTGATAGAAAGACTCTATAATTGCTTAACAATGTGACAATTGAACTTTTATCTATGTTATATATTCTTTTTACTTTTCATAGATTTTATTATCGATTTTCTTGTCATTGTTAATATTTCTTAGAGAAAATCGCCTTGTTAAATAAATCTTTCTTTCAAAAGATTTGTTTGTCAATTTTTAGAATAAAAAGAAAAGGCCAGGTCCACCATTACGACGATCGTAAACGAACCATAAATTAACTTTTTGTGAGGGACAGTATAATAGTCGTATGACACCGTGTCGTATACGGCGAAATATGTACACTGTTTACAATGATACCTGTACCGTAAAACGGTTGTGTTTTCGATGAACACCGTAGTACAAACGAACATTTATGACCATGTCACCACGTAACTGAACATTCAAGACCGTAGCGAACCGAAAAGGCAGCCATCAATAAAGTCTTCCTTCCTTACCAAACAACATATGCGCTTATGCGTATGTCTCACACCTATACCCTTATCACCAATATCTTATATCTTTACCCTATGGCCATACCCTTAAACCTACAGCCTTATGACTATACCGTTAGACTTGCATCTTTATCCTCATAACCTTCTACTTATATGTAGACAGTTATGCTTATATCCGTATAGATTTACCCCTAATAATATACTCTTATTTCGTATACCCTGATACCCATAACCTTATGGTTGTATTCTATGCCTAAGCTCTTATGAGTGTTCGTTAGAATTGTAGAATGTGTGTAGAGCAATACAGTACTTACGTATAATGTGGTTTGAATCAATCCATTATATTTGATAGTCTATTAAATTAGTAAAGATCTTGGACGTTAATAACTATTTAGGAGTAAATACGATGGAAGACCATGATTGTATATTAAACCGTTTACAGCTGATATATGTGATGACTTGTAATACGATTCGAGCATCGTTTACTGTCACCGTATTCTTACGATAGTCTTAAATGGTGATTGTATTTCATTTGTTTCCATTGTAACACATGTATTCTTGCCGATAAAAAAAAGCAAACTAATCATTTCGACCCGAAATAAAAGATATGCCCCTTGGTATTTCGCCGATACTCCGCAGTTGAGACAACAAAATTTTATGATAGAATTTTTCTTGTTTATCTTTCTTATGCATACAATGTGCAATCGCTATACATTGCTGTTCGATGTCAATAAAGAGAAAGTCGTGCGATACATAAATGTTTGTTTTACTAAGTCGTTCCGAACTATCTTATAGAACTTTTAAATGAAAAAAACAAACAATTCACAATATCCTTTGTATCTGTAAAATGTTCAGCCGAAATCCAAAATTTTTTTCGTAATTGTATTCGAACTAATGTCAACTTTTTTTTTCGTGACACGATCCGACCATGTGCATGACCCGACTTGAGTCCGACACTGATTCAGTATTTTCGAATACAATCGGATTTTTATTCAAAATCCAAATACAGAGTCGATATCACTACAAAAAACTAAATCAAACGAAGTATTTTTCGAGTCGATTTGACAACTTTCATTTTTGACGCTGATGCATAAATTGCTATCAATTGACTATAGAACTTGAAAAAAAAGAAAATTGTCAACGTGACATGAAAGACGCTTCATTTAATTCAGCTTTTTGTGTTGATTTCGAGTTTGTATTTGTCTTTTGGGTAAAAGTTTGATTGAATTCGAAAAACACTGAATATCACTCAGAAAGGCTACGGTACTCAAGTAAGTACGATTTCTGAACAAGAGAACCAAATAACATGAAAATCGATACATATTTTTTTTGACTAATTTTATGATAAATAGAAGGAAATAAAAAGTTTGACCTCTTCACTTAATCAAAACAACTAGATACATCTACCAAAAACGACCTTTAGTCATTGCCATGGACACAATTCGAGGTGTCATCGTTAATATGATTTTGGGTTTAAAATCGATTTAACATCTTGCTGATACTCTGCTTTTAATGCGGAGTCTAATAATAATATTCTCAGAAGTTGGCAAGAAGATCGAACGAGAAAATTTTGTATATTTCGAAAGAAGTGTGTTTTGTTTAAGAAAAATAGTACCTTCCAAGCAAGTTTTTGATTCTTTCCAACTTGAAAACAATGTCCATCAATGCTAAGAACTAGTTTTTCTTGATCAGCAACTCACACTATATCAAACCATATGTAAAAAAGACATATCTTTCAGATATTTTTGCTCTAGAGGTCATTTCTATGATGAAATTCATTTTTCTCGACTTTATATGAGAAAAGGTTTCACTGACAAAAAAAATGAGGATTTATCCGAGTGTAAGAACCTTCAAAAACTCGTTTCTGTTTTTCTTTGCCTGAAGTGCACAGTGATTCAGCTTATTCTATTGAATGAATTGTTAATATATACAAGAAGGCCTTGTTGAGTCAATAAAACAGTTCTACGAGTTTCTCTACAGGTAAAAAACAGCTCGATAAACCGTTGATTTACATGCAGTGCTGCCAGTAAATTGATACAGTTATTTCTTAAAATTAATGATAATTCAAGGAAAAAATTGTTATTTGATATGAATTGTAATATAACAATTTAGAGTGCTGATCAACTAAATTCTCAAAGACAAAAATTATAAATAATTATACCTGGTCTTGCAGTTGTTGGTTTTGATAATTTTACTAATCATATTGGTAAGATAATAGCTAATATCAAATAATTCGTTAATACTCTTCTAACAAATGAAGACATTGATCATCACTGTTGCAATGATTTACATGAAAAACTTAATCTTACGAATCACAATAAGAAGATTTATCGATAGACTAAGTATTTAGTAGGAAGGAAATTATTCTGAATAATATTCGATTAATAATTAGATGTTTCGAGAAATTATTGGTATTAGTGATTATATTGAGCAAACACTTGATTAAAGATTATAGAATTTCCAAGAGATCAACAGAAATCCTTGCATTTCATATTTTCACTGTAATTTACATAATAACTATGAGAGGTCATGATCAAAACACGATACAAAATATACACATACGTTCCACATGACAACTCAATGTATTTTTATCTTCAATATAAATCATGTATGTCATTGCAACGAATTCGAAAATTGATTTGTTTTTCAAAATAACAAGAAACAAAAAAATTAGAAGTTAATTAAGAAAGAAAACTTTGTTTTTTGAAAAATTTTAAGTAAATTCATTTGATACAAGGAAAACGAAAAGTATGAATTAATTTCGTAAGTACACTTTAAGACTGAGATTTTCTCAATGCTAAAAATATTTTCAATGTTATCAGTGTATATCTTAAACGTAAGAAAATACAATATTAGTCATGTAATTTCGTTTGTCTTTTCATTCTTACAGGTGAGACACATTTACATGCAGGATTTACCACTGTTTTTTTTGTCTGTCAATATTTCCAATCAGTCATACTCTGATGCGTTTCGTCGACGTGAGGATGCTTTTTTTAATTGATATTTTTGGTATCATGGCCTGTCTTGTTTATATCTACGAATATGTTAACGAGGGAATCCGATGTAGCAGATCGATTAAATAACTTTATTATTTTTCGAAAAACATTCGGTATATATATTAACGAACTAGAAAAAATCTAAATACGGATCTTGTAGAGAAAATCTCATGATGAAGGAAAAATATTTTTTTCATTTCCATCATATCATTTGATAGAGAAAAAAAAACTGAATCGGATGGTATGCTGTGCTTCAAAAATTTATTCAACAAAAGCGATATTAATTGTTAATTACAAATAGTCTCTTTTAAAAACTTTTCATTAATTTCAAGAAAATAAAATCAATATTATTTTTGAAAAATATACTCTAATAGAGTATAAAATTCTCTTCAGAATGATATATTTTGAATAGAAACGAAGAACCTTCCTTGAAGATGATAAGAAGACCCTATCTTATCATGTGCAGAAAGAAAAGAAAATTTTCTTTCGTTGTGTTATCAACTATGTATAATGCTTAGAGGAATAAAACAAAGTTTTTTTCTTTCTGCACAGGATAAGATAGGATGTTATCATCTTTAAGGAAGGTATTTCGTATCTATTCAAATACATCATTCTGTAGGGAATTTAATTCTCTACAAGGTTATATTTTTCGAAAATATGTTGGCCTTATTTTTCTGTGGAAAAAATTAGATTAATGAAAAATTTATAAAAGAGACTAATTATAACTATATAGTAATTAATATTTTTTTTTATGAAATAAATTTTTGAAGTAGAGGATATTATCCAATTCAGTTTTTTTTTATCAAATGATATATGTTGAGTCGAGTTTTCATTTTATCAAACGTAAAAAAAATGGATGGTTCTCTAGAAAGCCGATAGGACTTCATGTACTTCGAGATTTTCGAGGTCTTATCAATATTTTTTTCCATTTTTAAATTGTACCAACATGTAGAAAACTATTTTTATCTATCGAATAAAATATAATTCGAAATATCTTGCAATATAATAAAGGCACGATATAACGAAGAATTCAAGTGTCCATAATAATTTCTTTTCAGATTATGTATATGTCTAGTAGAACAGGGTAGAAAGAAAAAAAAAAGGAAAATATCATACATCACTGATTCATCATGGAACAGAATAAAAGCACGAGAAAGTGAATATCTATATATGAAGTAAGCAATCAATGATTTTACTCATCAAGGTAAATGTAATGATCATGAAAAAAAAAAAAAGTATCATTATTTTTGATTGTAGATGAATGTAACATAGAACAAATTTGAATAATTTTCTTTCACTTCATGTAAGCATGATAATGTAAAAACTATCGAAAGAAATTTTTCTGAAATACGTAACGAAAAACAAAAAAAGTTGTTGAAAATTTTTAATTTTCTTTCAATAAAATATTTTCATAATAGAAAAAAAAGAATATAAATAGAAAATACTTTTATATTTGATATAATATACTAACAAATTTATTATTATCTATTATAATTTTAATAAATATATTTATTTATTTTAGGCAAATCTAAAATGGCTACTATTGAAGATACTTATGCACCATTAATTAATTCTATTGAAGCTGATTCTTCATCGGCTACTAAAAAGACTGACTCACTCGAAGTAGTTATATTACCTTCTACAACAAAGACGGTTAATATGAATTTAAATGTTACCGATGGCAAAGATATTCAATCGAAAAATGTTAAAAAAATAAAGATTGGCGAAAATACCACATTTTCTAATATCAGTCATCGATTAGCCATGCGAAAAATCTTACATGAACGACTGTATGAAAAATATCTGTTTGCTGTTTTATTATTTTCTTTTATATTCTAGTTCTTTTGTGACTGATATTATGTGTTTTCTTGGTATTTTGGGAATTATTCTTATGATTATTGAAAATGAAATAACATTTTTTGAAATCAATAATAATGATAATATATTGAGTTGGTCTATCAAAATAGTTATTACCTTATCAACAATTGTTCTTATTGGACTTATATTTAAATATCATCATTTAGATATGTGTCTCTATGCTGTTAATAATTCAATTGGAGATAGTCGTGCTGCATTAACAAACAAGAAAATATATTTAATTTTACTTGAAGTATTAATTTGTGCGATACATCCAATACCTCGCTCATTTCCTCGTCGTTTGAATACATCATTAAAAGATCAAGATTCAAATTCATTCACAACTACTCCTTATTCCTTATCTTATATATCTGTTGATGTTGCACTTGGTTTACCAAGTAAGTATCAATATTTTGTTTTCTATTTATGATATTGTAAACTAAGCACATTAATTAGTGTTTGCTCGTCTTTATTTGATTTGTCGTTTTATGATGTTTCATTCTTATCTATTTCGTGATGCATCATCACGATCTATTGGTTATCTTAATAAAATATCAATTAATTTCTTCTTTCTGATTAAAAGTTATCTTGAACAATGGCCTATTGGATGTTTAACGATATTCTGTTTAATTCTCTTCTTGATTGGAAGTTGGTGTTTACGTGCATGTAGTTATCTACCAAGTAATCAGCATTTACCAATGCTCGATTCAATGTGGTTGTTCGTTATAACATTTACTACTGTTGGCTACGGAGATTTCACACCTTCTACATATTGTGGACGAAGTAAATAAAATATTATTTATGATAAAAAAAAATTTTTTTAAAATTTTTATCGATGAATAAAACTTTTATTTGTTTTTTATTCATTATTAGCTATTGCTGCATTTATTGGTTTGATTGGTGTCTTTTCTACTGCTCTTGTTATTGCTGTTCTTGCACAAAAACTTGTATTGGGTCGATGCGAAAAATATGTACATAATTTTGTATTGAATACTGGATTGGCAAAAGAGCGTAAAATACAAGCAGCGAATGTTATTAAATTTGCATTAAAAGTTTGGTATATGAAAAATAAAACTCGATCTGCATCATCTACTCAAATTCTTAAATCACAACGACGACTATTTCAATCAATATATTTACTTCAAGAAGTTAAACAAGAACAAGGAAAATTAATCGACAGTTGTATTGATCAAATCGATCTAATCACTTTGCAACGTAAGACAAATGTTCAAACATATGAAGTTACAGAACAATTGAAGACAATGAAAGCTAAAATGGATAATATGGACAAGAAACTTATTGATATGAACATAAATATAAATAATACAATAGCCGATATGCAAAAAACATTGAATATGTTGTTGGATAAAGTTTCAAAATAATATATTGATTATAATTTATTGCTTCGTCTTCTTCTTTATGACAATACTAATACTTTATTTGTTCCTACTAATCTGAGCTTTTTTCAATTATTTGATTTTTCTTATCGAATAATACTAATATTCATTCAAAGGATTAACTATGTTCATAAAAATAAATTTACTTCTTAATCTATAATATTCTGATTTAAAAACAAAAATCATAAACTAAAAGTTATAATGGTACAGTAGAACTTTCAAGCATGTTTTATATTTTTTATCTAAACCATTTTTCTCCTGTTCATATATGTACTTCTGATATGTTCATGTGTTACATTCAATATCTATTCAAGTGATTCAAATGGAACAAAAACTATCAGTAGAATGACGATCAATTATCAATGGTTTAATACTTACGTTAGATGATCGACTATCTTCTGAATGACATTTGAACTCGGTATATCGATGATAGTGGAAACAAAATTGAATATGTTCATATTGTAGAACTTAGTATATTGATAGTTATCGATGTTTATGACATCATCTTCTAATAAATATTTTACTTATATAAAATAAAAATCAATATGACTATGTCTAGAAAAATTCAAGAAATTTAATTGTTTTTTTTTTTAATAATAATAATATCATAGTGTGTATTCTTTGAAGTGTTATTTAAAATAGTTAGGTTGAGTAACAAAACAAAGTTTTATAACAAATTTCAATTACATAAAACCTATTGAATCAAACATTTTCAAAAGTACTTGAAAAATACAATATAATTTTGTTTTCGTTGTCATCGAATCATTTTGATAATCTCTTCTTATTTTAAATTGAAGTCAATTTTTTAAAAGCATTACATCGACATAAGTTTTCATTTTATTTTTATTGTTAAATCAATTGCAATGAAAAACTACTTCATCTAAAATACGACCAAAACCTCTCTATTGATAGTGTCTTTTCAAATTGATATAAAAATTTTACATCTTTTATATTCGATCTTGGAAACAATTATTAGATGATGTTATTAATCAAATTACATTGTGTATAATTTCACTGAAACATACCAAATCATAATTCAATATGCAATTTGTAGTGTAAACGAGAAAGCTATATACAACAGAGACCGTCACAGGGCAGGGCAAAAATTTTTGCCCTGTGCCAAAAAAAAGTCTGATTCTAGTTTAGTTTTTCTGATGAAAAAATCGATTAAAATGGCAATGTTTTTATTCAATTTTAATCTAATTATTTCATGCAATTGCCTTTTCAAAAATAATTTTGAATGAATTAAGTCTTGCTTATAAAATGAAGTTGATTAGAAATGTAATCGAGTCTTTTTTTTCTGCTACGCGTCTTAAGAAATCTCAATATGAAATGACTGCTTGCTCAAAAAGTTTATGAACAAAGAAAAAACNTGTTTTTAACATAGATATACAATTTTTTGATCTTAGTTTTTTCGACAAAATTCAAAATATCTTCAAATTTTCCTAAATTATCTATATTTTCACAACTAATGTCTTTTTTGCTGAATAAACGTTGATAAACAATTTTGGGTAGACATTTTTTTATATAAATCGAGAAATGGATTCTCACTATTCAATAAGATATGTTTAGAACTTTCAAAATAAATTTCCATAACTTATCACATTAATCTTTCTCGAATTGTTTGTGTTCTTCAATGTCAAAAAAAAAACATTCTGCTTCACTTACTCTGAAATCTTTCTATTGATTCAAAAATTAAAAATTTTCTATTTCCCTGATTTTGTCAAGCTCGATGGAATTCAATGCAGCCGTCATTTCGAATAAATTTAAATCTAAATAAATTCCAGTGTTACAATTTTTTTTTTACTTTATCAATAACATTATCACATCATTCTTAAAATATTACAGACTTTGAAGCTCTATCATGAGTTGCTCTTTAACTTTAAATGATCAACTCCGAATTATATCATTATTATTAAATAAATTGTTTTCTAAATATTCTAATTTTTGAAATTTCTGAAGTTTCAGATACCAGAGTAATACATATAAGTATATCGAAATGGAATTTCATTTAATTGTCATTTTTATTTAACTCTTTCGGGACGGGAGACTCATATATGCGTCTTTCATCCTGAAATAGTTCAAATCTATGGATGTGTCATAATTATAATTTATGTGCTTCGCATTGCTCTATAGTGTCCTACGCACGACATTTGTATGAGCCGTCCCTGTCTTTGAAAGATGCGTAAAGCTGACTAGAAAGAGAAATTAATTCACTTCAATTAATTCCATGCTTCATTATCAAGAATCCTATCCAGAAAGGGTTAAAATATCTATGAAAACGTGTAATACACTGAGAAAATTATTTGTTTTGACGTTGTGTTCTTTTGATAATTTCTTTGCATGCATCTAGAATATTGTGATTTATTGTTTTAGATAAAATACCAATCGATTTATATTCCATACACAGAACAAACACTTAGAAGTCACTCGCTATTTCAAATAGACACTACCGCGAACAAAAATTTTTACGCTCTTCTAAAGTTTCAAGGATACTGGTATTACACTCACACATCTATCCACACTCGTCCAATAGAAGTCATTGACATATTTAATATAATGTATTGAACAGCATTGCATTATTAATAATCGCATACTGATCTGTTATATATTATTACATTGATTGTAAATCAAATTCACAAGTGGAACGTTGTTCTAATGTTCCAACTTGATTTTGACGTATTCTTTTTCTACAATACATTCGCCAACATTTATTTATAAAAACATATTTAACTTGTCGACGAAATCGTGTTGATGATATTAAAAATATATAGAAAGAACCCTAAAATAATCGAAATAAATAAAATAAATATCTATATTTAACATACTGCATAATTAAGATTAAACAATGAAACAGTGATAGCTGCAGTAAGTTGTAAAATGGCTTGGAAAATTGGACTGTTGTTAGCTGTTGATGTACTAATTGTATAAATCCGTTGTAATAGATACGGTGATATCATAACGATTAAAAGTCCAACTCGAACAAGAATCATTGCTGTCAATTGTTGATCAAGTTTTCGTCGACGCATTGGCATTTGACGTCGTACAATACGACGAACATTTTGATAAGCTAATATACTGAAAAATGTCGAGACAGTGATCGGTAAAGTTCCAATGAGTATAGGATAATAGAAATATGTAATATAATTTCTAAAATTTTCATTATATACTGTACACCCATATATTGATTGAATTTCAAGGAAGAACAACGCTAATATACCATGTAGAATCCAAAATATAGATGCAATAGTAGTAAGAGTTTTAGCTAATTTTATTGTACTTATTTGTCTTAAAAATGAATGACAACTTGTTGATAAATATTGATCAATAGCAGCAAAGCAAACAATATTAAGTGAAATCATAGTTATAGATTGTGTCAAGAATGGTTTTAATTTACACCAAAGTACCGATGTCTGTGTTAGATCATTACCAAATCCATTAATTGCAATACTAGATGGAAATGCAATCATCAATTCAAGTAAATCAATAATCGATTCTGCGATGAGATAAAACGCAGATGGATTTCCTCGAAAAATTGTAAGTCGAGCAAATACGAAGATGTTAGCAATATGTCCGAAAACACCAGAAAATAAAATAATAAAACTAACATAGACTGTGTATTGTTGAGAAGCATTAAGAATTAATTGTGCTGTTGATAATGATGACATGATACCATGGAGTGTCGGTTTTCTCTTTACGAGTAATGAATAATGTTTTTCTTCCTTTTGTTTTTAAATAAGAATTTATTTGCTAAAGATAATAATGTGGATAGCTATAATATAAGAAATACGAGCTTCAGAAACTTCGAACATATGATGAAGATGATGAAAAGTTACATCAGTAGAGATTCATTATAAAAAAATCTTGTTTTTTAATCATTCTTAACAAACTTTTTGTTAGAAATTGCAAAAGTTTGGGATAGCAACAAATTTGGAATGTGTCTATTACAGAGTGGAGTCTACAATGATATTTTAATATTGTCAATTAGAACATATTAGGAACATTAAAAAAGCATGACTTCTCAGACGATTGTTAAAAATTATCATATAGCGTGGGTTACAAATAGCATTATGACAAAAACGATGAAATATCTTTGCGTTAGTTCCATCAAATTAGCTTAATTTTTGAGATAGAAATTTACAACTTACTACCAAGTAAGAAAAATACATGTGCAGAGTTTTACAAAAGAATAATAATAAGAAATCGAAAGGGAGCCCATGAATGATACTATATACTGATGAACATAAAGCATATTTTGAGAGCTATTTAATTCAAATGTCAACAATAACAAGATTTCGAATTTTCAAACTCCAAACATTAGTGTTTTCAAACAAGCTGATCTTTTTTAGTCCTATGAATTGCAACTGTGCATTTTACTCATGAGTTACTTACGTTATCCGTATGAAAAACAAAAGCTATAAATACATTTTTACCATTTACTAAGAATTTAGTCAATTCGACTTAACCAAAGCCGAGATTTTTCAAATTTTTGTTATAGAAAATTTTTGGTTTACCCTGTTTACTCGATTATAGTTGTTAAGAAAAAGCAGAACTAAATAAAATGCAAAATGTCAGTAACACGTTTGATGAACGAACGCTTTAGAAAATTATATTCTGTTGAATTCCAAGTGGCTTTTCTTTCTTACTCGAGTGGAAATAATGTTTGACTTTTGTTGCATCCACCGAATGCGATAGATAAAAATAAGAAATTTAAAACAGATCTATATATTTTTATTCGAAACTTCTCCATGCTTATTTTAAACACATTCGAACGCCTTGGCTTGTTGAAAATATATTCGACATCCAAAAATAATTTTATCACAACAAGAAAATGTTCACAACATTCTAAAAATATTACTCTAATTACAAAACAACAACATGCTAATAGAGATTATAGCTGAGCTTTTGTCTCATGAGGATCAACAAGAGAATGAATACCTTCATTTAGCATCATGATATTAATCGGATCATTATGACTGGCAACTATAATTTTGATCTTAAATCTATTCATAATTAATTGATAATATTTCCTTTGCTTCAGTTATTTTCTGTATTCAATAAATATAAAGTCCTTGTTAACTCGGCAGCGGAGAGAATTCTTTCATCCAGAAAATTTTATTTTATAAAACTATATACGAATAAAGCAAAAGTCATCATTATGCTCACAATAATGGATCTCAATGTCGATAGAAATAAAACACCAAGGTCAATCTCCGTATCATGTGAATAGATAAATAGCTAAGTGTAATATGACTTGCATTTTTCAATCAATACATTCAATCACGAAAGGGTGTGAGTGTGGCTAGCTTGAGAAAAGACCACAGCCATCCACCCACATCTACCCCATTCACACTCATGCCTTCACATACACATCTACACCCATCTTCGAGAGCCATAGTAAAAGAAGCAGGCATATCTGGGCAAATCTTACATTCTGAGTCCATCAAAGTGATTCTTAAGCAAACATTGGATGAAAGTTACTCATTTAGATCCTGAGTTTATGCAAGAATTATGAGCTTCGAGAGAGTTTTATAAATCAAAGGGATAAAACCGAAGAAAATTTCGAATAAGAAGGAAAAAGTTGTTTTCTATTCTCCTAGTTCTAGTATATGCATATAAAGACATGCTGATATTAATAAGTAGTTTCTTAAAATTATCGACGCTAATTTCACTTATATTCAAATAATTATACACATTCGTAAAAAAAGGGTTTTTGTTCTAGAAAAAAAATCAGGGTGAGAAGCAATAGCAAAACTTTAACAGATACTTTGACCAGGATCGGAACCGGTACGAGATCGGCAAAAAACTTTAATCGGGTCTCGGCTGAGACCGAGACCAAAAACAGTTCATCCCGCAGTTCCTTACTTAAGATACCCTTACAAAGTGTCCACTATAGGATAGTCTCCACTTTTGAAATGTTTCGGTTATTTTTAGTACTTATTTCTGCAGTTGCCAAAACAAATCAAACTTCATTTCTCGCAATTATGTTGCAACGAAAGACGTTTTGAAGATATTTTATATTATAATTTGTTGAAAACTCTTTGAAATTCATCAATACTTTTCGGAAAGGTCAGTTATACAACTTTGTTTAGAGACTCTCCAATCGAGATAAAAATCAGTCATCTTCAACTTGAGTAAGCTGATATGTATGTGGAGTTCAAATTGTTGTGTCGATTAGAATAAATGTAATCTTCGCAGCATATCGAACGCTTCTAGTAGTTTTAGAAGTATCTCTTCGACCGATTCTTCTTCTTCAATGCGTTCAATATTTTCGATGGCATTAAAATTGAGGATTTCAACAACGAGATCGTTGTTGCCATTCCACTCATTGAAGACATGAATATTAAAGTCGATGTTAACTGATTCGCCAGCTAACATCCGATTACCACCGATGCACAAGTAAGAGAGAAGATCATTGAAGTGTTTGATCGGATCTTTGTTGCCAAGGTCACTTATTGACATGATATCGTTATTTAGAGTCTGCTAATCAGAACATTAAAAACAAGCACCTACAAAATAGTACATTGTGTTTTTGTTGAGAAAGTCGTTTAAGGTCAATATTACTTGGGTAAAAAAAAAGAATTTAGAAAAATTATCATTTTTCAATTCATGAAAAAAATGACCACCTATTTTTCAATAAACCTATCGAAAATTTACTTTGATTCAAAGTTTTGATTGATCACCAACAATAACCAAGATTCATTAATATTTATCTATACTTTTATCAGTCCATGTTTTCACAATGTTTTTATGAACAGAATGATGAGTAAGAGTATGGGTGTTGTAAGTGACACCTCTTCAAACACTCACCTGCTACACATCTATTACTTCCTATATTTCCAATAACAGAACCTTAAATACGGTTTTGGAATTTCATAAAGGACATCATACGTAAGTCAAAAATAAATTTTTCTACTAAAATATTCTCATCAGAGTTTACTTATCGATGACGATTATTCTTTCGAAGTATTCAGGTCATTAGAATCCTTTAGTAGAAGACTAAAACTCATGAGAAAACATCTGACAGATTCAATGGGGTGTGGGTGTCGAACTTCCATCACCCACACCCACCCTTAATAACTAAGAATATTTGCGAACGTAGTATTGGCAGTAAGTAGTCAAATTGAAGGAGTACTTGCGATCGCAATTGTTTCGATGGTGAAAGAAAGATGAATCAATGCGTTCTCTATGGTTTCCGACGTCATTATTGTGAAATTATTACGCTTTATGTCAATGAAGAAAGCAAAATCTTTTTTCTTCTTTAGCAAACGGTGCAGCTCTACAAGTATTAAAATTTTTATATTATATTTGGTTTTTTCCAAGTAAATGTGTATATGTATATAAACTCTCACAATTGTGTGAAAATTACCATAGATAAACATTCTATAAAATAGACAACATTTGGTGCCGATATTTATTAAACGATGGGCAACAATAACGGGACACTGTTCGATTTCAAACGTTACGCATGGCCGCCATCGGGTAACATCACTACTACACGTTTTACCACTGATGGTGAATTTGTGGCTCGAGGTGCGTTTCGCCTTTGCTATTTGGGCAGAGACACAGTAACGGATCAACCGGTTGTGCTAAAGAAATTTCGAAATCATTCTTCAATGGAAGAAAAATACTGGACGGAAGACATTCAAGCGTCTCGGGAGACTCAGCGATTTGCTAAACTGTTCAACGCCGAATTCAAGAGTAGCAAGGAAATTAGAGTTATTCAGCCTATTATTTACGAATGCCCGTCAAATATATGCATGCCGTTTCGGAAAGGAGAGAAAGTTCTTGTTGAACCTTTTCTTGGCAAAGATGTCTATACGAAGTTCAACTCGAACTCTGGATGGGAAAATAAAGCATGTGGATCAACTATGGGAGCATTTTCACACTTTACCTATCACAAGAGCGGTGGAGAGATGCTGGTGTGCGATCTACAAGGGGTGAAGACAGAGGATCAATACATATTGACAGATCCTGTTATTTGTTCTGTTCAGCAGATCTTTGGAATCACAGATTTAGGCGAAGATGGTATCCGTTCGTTCTTTGCGAAGCATGACTGTACGGAGCTGTGCAAGTCAACCTGGAGAAGACATGGCTCGCCTAAGCAGTATTCGAATGTTATTATGGGAACAACATTTTTGCTTTGAAAAGTGTGTTCGATTTTCTTTGTTTTTATTCAAGAGTCGTACCTTGCACTAAATGAGTGCAGGTACCACAAGGAAAAATAAATTTTATTATTCTTTCACAGCATAAAGTAGAATGTTATGTATACCGCATGAAAACATGAAACTGAAGAATATTCTCCAGCACCGGATTATTATCCTCGTTTATTCATACTCTTTTTAAACCCAATCACCCTCAGCATTAAACAAGCATAAGTTACAATAGTCAAAAAGAGGGCTGTTGTGGTCCCATACCCTTATACTGATATTTTATTTAAAGAGAAATCAACGATACTACATATTACCATGAATGGCAATGAACGTCCCTTTTTTGAAATGAGACATTGAAAAACAGCATTATGTAAAAAAAATACTTTCATTTATTTCCATCATTCCACCAAGGATTTCTCGTATATTTCTATTAAAAGAAAAAATTAATTTGAAAAAGTAAAATGATGCTGTATTGCGGATGTAGGTGTGTGTAAGGTATGGGTGCTACTGTGGAGGTGTTGGGAGTAGCTGTTTGCCTCACCAAAATCTACACATGCACGCACTCGTACACGCATACCTATACCCACATCCGCTTACTCGTAATATCTTGCAATTGTCTAGAAATTCAGTAAAATGATGATAATTCAAGAAGAAAGATCTTATTGGAAGAATTATTTTAGTATTTTAGTCTATACTGTGAGCCTTCATTATGTGAAAAATATGAATTCAAACGGAACGTATCAGTTGATACAATTGACTTGTAAGATATTCAATTGCTTTTTTCCTTTTTCGAAAATTAAATCTATAGATGAATTCATCTAGTTTCATAAGCGATATATTTAAAGATTACAGAAAAGCGCATTTAACATTCTTTTTATCCTGATCTAATTTTAACAAATGTTTTCTAAAACATTATAGTGAAACTTTAATAATTGAAAATGTCAATAATGATAAACGATAAAATAAAGTTAGTTATCGTTAAGATAATTGTGTTCTACAATGGAATTAATTTGTTTTTTGTTCATTTATATTTATTCGTTTAGTTATTAGAATTTATGATAAATCAAATCAGAATCTGCATTTGAAAACTTCTTCAATAAGAAAATCATCACGAATAATTATTACTACGAATTCAATTGAACATTTTCATATTTTTCCTACAATGAAGAAGAAAGAATTATATAAAGAGTTAGTGTTATTCGAAGAATCTTGTCAACTATTATGATATTGATGTAAATGAAATAAACAAATATCCTATTTTATTTGTAGTTTTATTATGCTATCAAATTCTGGAGAGATTTATTTCTGTTCGATATTTCAGTTAAACTTAAATATTACAATGCTATTTGAAACCATCAAGTTATTATTGATCAGTCAACATTTCAAAAGAACCATACCAACAATGACACTAATAGCTAAAACGATCTGCCCGAGATAAAGTGCTAAATTCCAAGCTTGACTAGATTGTTCTGCTTTCTGATATACGTCAGATTGTTGATTTGGTTCGACTTGTTTAAATGTTTGTCGTAGTTTAGCATGACTTTGGTAAGATACGTTGATATTGACTTTATTTGATTGAAATTCTTTCACATCGTTTCGATGTTGTTCTAATGCTGTTTGTACTGCTGAGTTTTTACTTGTATTCTCGTTATTTTCAATTGATGAAAAGAATTCATCGGAATTCTTCACAGCATTATCACATGCCCGATTATCGATTCTTTTAAATGCTTCCCCGAGCGATATCACATGTTGAGTTGCACGTACCACATCATCAGGTTTAAGAATGCCGGCGTTTATTGCTGGTCCACATGTTTGCACTATAAACAAGAGTTTAAGTATGATTATTAACATTTTTATTTAGTCTTACTTAAACCACTGACATCAATAACAGCAGTTAAGACAGCTTTTGCTGTGTCAATCCAACCATTCGTCTTATGCTGAAGAGTTTCAACATTTGCTTTTCTTGAAGAGTCGAAAAATTGGTCATCTGTATTGCTTGATCGCCTGCAAACTTGATTCTTTCAAGTTCTCGTACTGGTTGATAATCCTCGGATTTTAGTTCTCCACTTAATAATTGTTGCGCATCAAAAGTTGCATGTTTATCGTCTGCTTTAGGATAGTTCATCGAATCTAGTAAATAAAAATTAATGAGAATTAAAAAAGATTATTCTACAAAATTGAATAGTTCGTTCGATTCTAACTTCAAAATTCACTTCTAGATACCTTTGATTCATTGATATCCATGGATAGCACCTCATGAGCTACGCACTTTTATTCCCGGCATAGACTTGGACTGCTATCTTCAAAAATATATTGTAAACAAATAAAAAATTCTAGAAGCCATACCTTTTGACATTACTTTTTTTTAATGGCAGTTCATTCTTAAGATAATTTAAAAAACAAAGAAAGATGGACTAACACATTCATTTAAGCGAAAAAGGGTGAACAAACTGATAAACATGAACCTCTTTTAAAGAGTATGCCGAGAATTTACTCATAACAAATAAGAAGGTTAAAAGAAACACCAGCACTTTCTTCTTCTTTAATTTGTCCTCTATCACCAAAAATGTAATATTCTGTGTCTGAGTCGTTAATCATTGTTTTTTCACAGGTAAGTTTTGACGATGGTATTGTAACCGTCGTGTTTCCATAGTTTGTCTTGTTTTTTTTTTTATTATTCCTATTCTTTTCTGTTTTCACTGATTTCCTTCCGTTTTTGCATTCTATCCTATGCATCAGGCCCTCCGGGGTGTCAGAAATAAAACATGTATAATAAAAAATAAGACGTTCTTTATTGACCTCAAGCCTGGAAAATTCCAAGGTTAACATATCGGAAAGCAAGATTTTCAGAAAGAAAAAAATGCACTAAGCAATTGCTAAAAATAAAAATATTGAAGTGAAACATCCAAAAAAGAGACATTCTAATGGTTGAAGGATGTAGGTCTGTTGATCTTATCGTCATCCACTCCCTACAATGAATTGCGACCAGATGATCAGCTGCTGTTACAACAAAAGAATGTATTCGAACAACAGCTGAAAACATTCTATTCACTCTGTATAATCGATAGGATACTAAGGGAGCGACTATGAGTGTGTGAATGTGGGTAGGTGTGAGTCTTCTATTTACCTCCGCTCACACTTTATACCCTTCTGAGTTATGAAAGGGTAGCAAGGAAGTAAAAACCTCTAATTAATGGTATTCGAATAAATCTCTTGGAGCAGGTTGAGCCGGAAAAACTTCGACTTAAACATGCATGCATTATTGTTTTTCAAAAAAGATATGTGAGTCTTACAAAAGCATTAACCTATGATGTCGATGAAACTAGAGTCGTTTCGATCACGTCTTTTTTTGAATTAATAGGATCCGACCAACGCAAATAAACTTAGTAGAATTTGACACTGTTTAATAAAAATTTAGAAGAAACAAGAGGGTTGCTTTCACAATTGTCGAAAAAACGACAACTATGTATTCAATCATAAAGCTTGCTTTACACTATAGCCTTAATTCACATTCAGAAATAGAAGAATAAAAAAAAGAAATGAAAAAAATATAAAGCATAACAATTGATTAAAACTTATTGCAATTAAGTTTTTATCTAAAATAAACTTTGCAGATGTCCAAGAAAAATCATTTGATCGCCCAAGATGCAATGTTTATAAATGAAACCTATAAGTGCTTGACTAAATCTTACCAAATCTTATAATCTACTATTTATACAATATTCTTGTTACAAAAAAACAAGCTTTAACATCTTTTTTCCGCTATACAGAATTTTTAGACTTTTTTACATACTGAGAGATATTTCCATCATACATCAATAAGTAGAATGAATGGTGCTGTGAGTGTTAGTGGAGACGAGTTATATACAATTTTGTAAAGTTGAATGTTAGTGATGTTAGCATAAATTACGAATACCCGTGTGTCAACGTTTGGGTGAGAAGTAGAACAATATTCGTAGTCACATTCACACTCATTCGAAGCAACGAGAGTTTTGAATTTTTTCTTTCATATATATTGGCAGATTCGATGAGAGCCTGACTATTTTTTTAATATTTACCATTGACAATCGAAAAAAAATAATCAGTATCATTTTATGTTTAACGATAACACTTGAGTTAAGATGAAGGCATTGAAGGCGGTATCTTCGGATATCTATTTGGTCAAAAGTATTGATATTTAATTCGCTGTGTTGACCTATCTGTTATAGGCTAGAACCAATCCAAAAATTAAATTCAGTTAATATTAATAATTGTGAGAGTTAATAGTGAATGATTTTAACCAGAAAAAAAAGAGACTTCAATATGACAGAGTATGATGAAGTGCTCGCACTGAATACTGATTGTGAATTTATTTATGCAGCAAAACCTACTTATAGTAAAAGTAATCAGCACAAAACTTGGTTCATTTCATTAACTAACTTGTGAAGAAATATATTCATCGAAATTGCATACAATGATTAGAACGACGTGATACACTGATATTATTTCTACTAAGCTAATGAACTAGTACTTGTAACCTATTGTGATGATTTATTTTTTGTATTATATATTTTTTAGCAGTAGTAAAATGTTTGCTGCTAGCATGTATGATTATTTGGTCTATTCCACTTTCAATTGCTTACAATATTACGATAGTTCAAACTACTTTATGCTAGACTTTTCTATGGGAAAAATCTTTTTGAATTTCATAGGATGGGTGTGGATGTGGGTGTGAGTGTGAATAAGATCTTCTATTCATTTACACCAACACCGACACCCACACCCCACCCTTCTAACCGACTGTTAGTTATGTGGTACTCGAAAAGGGTAAGTTCATCATTTATCAAGTTTATAATAACTCTAAAGCTATATTAGCTAAAATATGGAAGTCTGCCTTATCATCAAATCAACAGAAACTATATGAATGTTATTGAACATTAAACATAATTTCATTGGACTATTTTGCAATGAATTTATGCTCTTTACTGACTGATAATATAAAGAAATTTCAAGTCTACGGAACAGAAAAAGATGCACAAATAATCAATCTCTCTTTGAAGACAACGAACTATGACATACTTTTCGTGTAATCCATGGAAAACAGACATATACATAGTTGGCATGGTGAGCCTTCTAACTATGCATTACAACTTTGATCTAGCAGAAAGTATATTCAATCAATTATATTGTGCCCACACCAGTCTTGTTTTCACTATCTCGAGGAAAAACAAAGTTCTCACTTCAGAATCGTCATTTTTGTAGAACGAATTAAGAACAACGGAACTTTGTATCGAAATTTCGAAAAAAATGGTTGATCATATCAAGATATGGAACTTTGTGACAAGGTTTGAACGAAAATCGTACGACTCGCCGATCTTGAGATAATCGGAACAAAACAATCAAACCCTGTATAAATTGCATTTTTTTATCAGTTTGCAAAGAACAGTATGTCTTGAGGAATATTGGCAAAAAAATGTTACCAGTTCGATCTCGATACTTTGTCTTTGCATTTAAACCAGTATTTTTTTAGTAAGAATTTTCGGATAAAGAACAAAAATAGTAACTATATTTTTTGTTCTAGAAAGTTTTTGTGAAAAATTCAATTTCGACTTCTTATGTGAATCTACGAAAAAAATTACTACAAATGAAATAAAGAACAGAAGCAGGAAACATTTACTATATAATAAAGTATGCTTATTGGTTATCAGAAATCACATGAATACAACTTTGTTTGGAACAATTGTTCATGATTGCATGCATGACTGCTTGATGAACACTTACAAAGAAAGACAAAAAGAGTATTATCATAGTCTATAAAATGATGCGCATCAGTCTCTTGACATTAGGAAGACATTTTGATTGATTGCATTTCTTTATTCTAATCGTCAATCAATATTTATCGAAAATTTGCAATTCTAACACACTATTCAAAAAATTTGATATAATCAGGTGACACTACGGATGTTTTTATTTCTTTCTTTTTCTGAAATAAATCAAGTATAATATTAGACTCTTTCATTAATTATATTTCATTAATAGAAATATAACGAAAAAACACTAAAGAAGTTAAGTAAAAACAAAATAGATCGATCCATAATTTTAAATTTCAATTCGTATTGGTAGAAGAACAGAAGGTTGTCGTTCTCGCAATGTTGATTCCATTGGTACTACTTGATTTCCATGAAATTTTAATTTCATAAGTATTTGTTTGATTTGTGGAGTAATAAATACGATTGCTATACTAAGTATAAATATAGTTACTGCTGGACCGAACCATTGAATTCGATACATATAATATGAGCCTGAAATACGAGGATCAATATTTGTCATGATAACGAAAACTGTATTTGGCGATCCCGGTAAAGTAAGAGCAATGACAGTAAATAAAATACGACGAGTGATCGTGAGATCACGTTGAGCCCTTCTTCGTTGTCGTTCTTGTGACAATTGAGAAGCATGGTAATGAATAAAATACAGAAAACGACCATAAATTATTGCCAGATAAACGATTGGAAAAAAGAATATATTTAGTACCGTATAAAAAAGTCCAACAACTTTTTCATATGGAATACCACAGTAATAATCTGATTCGTATAAAGAATAAAGTGGTCCAGGCCAAAAGTATGATGGAAGAAGTAGAAGAAAATACATAACCCATTGAAGTAGAACACAAATTAAATTGAATGAAAATGTCTACAATTTAATTCATAGTTTTTATTAAAATGTCTTAAACATCAATATATATATAAGAATATCAAGCATGTTTTGCAACTATGCATGATAAAAAGAATTGAAATTTACATACCTGTAAAAATTTGTATTTGCTATAAACAACTCTTGTCAATCTATACAATCCTTGAAGAACAAATGTCATATATAAACAACCGTATGTTTCATAAGTAAAAAAACCTAGAAATCGACATGTAATTAATTCTTTGTCAGTAAGATTGGTGATTCCATATAAATCTGTTTTAAGAACATTAATAGTCTCCGAAAAAAGTACGAGAGAAAATGCAACCATAGCTGCATATGTATTTATTGTAAGAAGAAGTGGAACATCTTGTTTTTGCCGCAGATGAATGGCTAAGATGAGAAACAAAGTGAAAGCAATTAATATTGTGAAACCAGAGCTGATTAGAGTAGTAAAAGTAAAAATAATATTTGACAACATTGTTGTTTTGAATTGAATATTAAAGATGTATGAAAGAAAATGATGTCTTTTTGTTCTATTTTTCTTTTCTCATTTGTTCTTTCATAAAAGACAAGGCTTCTTTTAGCCGATAGACTGAGGAAGTATCTAACAATAGACATTTTCTTATTCAGTAAAACTTCAGTCGCTTTCAGCAATTTGTTTGTAGTCAAAAAACCTTCTAATATGCTTTTCATTAAATCATGTGAAAAACGGAAAAAATAAGTCTTAATATGTAGCTCCAGTCAAGTTTCCATTCGATGTTAACAGTGATGAGTATAGCCAGCCGACGTATATCGAATTTATTTTTATATTCGAAATACTGAAACGTACAAAATCCATTAATGTTTATGAACTCGATTTTATTTCTTAATATGTGTCTATAGTGAAAGTCACGAATGAATGTGAAAAACGCTGATGATCGTCCAGTTACATAGGAAAAAAATAGTTCCCCAGCTTTTTCTAAGTATAGATCACATTTCAAGTTTAGTAAGAAAGCAGTGTTTGACAAAAAAATAATGAATATTTATTTTTCATGTTCCGTTCAAAACTTCATTTTAAAATGAAAATTTGTAAAACAATTTTCCTATCAAAAATCAGACAAAAGTCCTTAAAAGATTCGACCGAAAGATAAGAAAAAAATATTCATTAATTTCTTGTTAAAAAATCTTTCGTACTAAATTTGGATGTACTGTATCGAACTGTGCAACAGAAACTATATCAAGAGAAAATTGTGGAAGTAGTAAATTTCCGGCGTCTTATGTTCTTCAGAAATGTTGATGTTATTTTTGAGTTTGATAAAGATAACTATAATAGAATTCATTTTTTAATCTGTGACAACGAGCGCTTCATTTCTCTCAGATCCCGAAGAGACAAGTGCTCAAAATCCTATTATATCACGCTAAGAACACAAGAAGAAAGATAATGAAAGAAAAATGCTTGATGAATCCAATTAATCTAAAAAAAAAGAAGGCTATATCACAGGAACGTATATGTTTTGTGCAACATGAAATAATTTAATGTGATCCTTTGAGAAGCATTAATGAATAGGATTTTTACTGATATTATAAAATCAATGAACTTGTGACGTGTATGTTACTAGTCAGTTGAATGTATGTTGAATTATTCTATAAAAATGTAGACAAATATCAAACATTCAAGAGAAAAATAGATTGAAATCGATAGTTATACGTGCTCTCGATGACATATATATATATCCCAATAAAGCGCGAGTTTAGAAAATAATGTATGTGATACAAAATAAAATTTCATCGTTATTCGTTTGATCAATGTACCCTTAAACGTGGAGTTCGATAAGTTTATGTTTCGACTTCTATGGAACATATTCAGAAGATAATCACGATTGTTTTTCATCGCCAGGATACAATTCTCATGTTTTGTACGAAAGCATCCACTTTTTGCAATATAATCTGATTAAAATCGATTAGATCTATTACACTGACTATAATTATTATTCTAGTTGTAATTGGGTTTTCATCAATGCTTAAAACACCTTGTAATTAGATGAGAAATCAAATAATCATATCAGTTTCCAATGGATCTTATAGTGCAAAGAAATGTAGACTGCCTTGAGTGTGAGCCTTCAGGAAGAGACAAACGTTGAATCTATCTTCAATTCAATTAATCGTATTCTTCTTTTCTCGGTTCTCTCATGGTTGCTTTGACATAGGCAGACTGCTCAACAATTTAATATTTCGAAGAAAAGTCATGTTTTCTTTGTCTTTGTAACTGGATACATTATTTAAATGATTTTAGAACAATAGAAGCGATCTAGACAACAAAATCAACTTTAAATTAGTTAACATCTTAGAAAGAATTAATCTACATAAAACATAATTAATACAAAGCAAAATACACAATACATTTAAACAGATTAGACTGTTAATACAGACAAGTCAAACTAGAGTCAATTTTTTTTCTCAATGATCTAGAATTTGAAACGCATAAATGATGATCAAAGAAAAAAAATTAATTTCTGTATAAAAGAGGCCGGCAGGTTTTTTTTATAAAGAATACCACAATAGCAATCCAATTTGTATCATGCGTAGTCCGTATGTCGATAGAGATATGATAGTAAAAGAAATACATGATTTTAATAAATACAAACTTTAAACTTTTACGACGCGGATTGATCAACTAAGATTTATGTTACAAAAACAATTACAATACAGCTGTTGATTTTCTATTTTTCAGCAGAGATTTATTTCATTCTATATGTGTTGAAAATAGTTAAGGTTATATAAATATGCATAATGTGAGAAAGAATCAGAAGACATGAGAGATCATAAATGTATACAAAAGCATTAAAAGAATAATTCAAAAATATCTAAGAGTATCGCATTAAATTTAATCTTAATGGTTTGGTATTATGTGCATTAGTATGAGTTGATGCCAGATGTTATCGTTAAATTAACATTATTTTAAATGCTAATATATAAATCATCGACGATTTGATCTCAGATACTCTAAGTTCAGAAGTTTCGAAAATCGAGCATTTTTGTTATGTTTTGTGAATTACGAAACTCACATATTGCATATAAACAAAAAAAAATAATTTAAAGAGTGAAACAGGCGAAATGAAAACTATTCAATAATAATCAAATATTTATTTATGTAATAGCGATCAATGAAGTAAGCATTCCTACGATATTCATCTCTAAATCTATGGAGAATTATTTGTAAGAAGCAAAACTCTAGATAGTTTTTAGAAAAACGACGAGTTAAAAGTGTGATAGACAGTTTGTCTAACAGAAGGTGACTGAGAAAAGCTGTTGTCTAAAAATTTGGCAGACAGAATTCAGATAATATCTAACCTGTATTTTAATATGCGAATAAAATCAATTTGTTTTTACTGTTGTTTTCTTGTCAGTTATGCTTGTAATCTCATTAAATCTGAAGCTTTTTTTTTTTCATCTAGTAAACAATATCTAGGTGAATCAAATAAAAAGTATGTGCTAAAGACCTTGAACTTGATGATCTAGCATTCAGTCAGATGCTTATTATCAGTAATCATAATTGGAATGCAACACTTTGTATTCTATTCCATACATCAATTATGAAAAAAATATTGAAAGCTTACGAAATGATACTTCGTGTAGCAAATAAAATCAACAACAGTCTGAAGAAACTTTCTTTTCAAATAGGAAACAGAAAAACAAAGAATTAAATGCAAAGTCATAAGAACAGAATAAAAAAGAGAATGTCATTATTTCTGAGAAAAACAAAACTAGGTGAAGATTATAAGGACAAGCCTATAGTTTCACAACATGTACCAATTAATCAATGAAGACAACATAATTAACATAAAATGATTGAGGCTACGTCAGAAGTGTGATAACTAAAGTAAATCATTGAATATTAATCGAGTTAGAGGCATCATCTGAAGCAAAATCAAATATTATTTTAATTGTTTCTTCTAAAAAAAAGACCTAGTACAATATGTAATATTAATTAGTATGAATTTCATAAAAGCAAAACCTTCGCTTCACTAGGTTTATAGATAAATATTGTCTTCTTTGGCTCTAGAAAAGCATCAATCAAGTTTTTGAAGATAAAACAATCCTTATGACTGTTACAAAATATAATCTTTCGATAGTTATCGATATCGCTTTTGCTTTACAACTTATAATCACAACCATATCCATCATTAAGTAAAATAACTGATGAACAACAATTACACAAACAATGTTTTCAACAAACAAACGTTCTCTTACTAGAAAAATTCTTCGAATTCTTGAAGTCATAGAAATATGTTTTAATATCATCATACTTTTGTAAAAGATAAGAACTATTAAAACTTCTTAATCAGCCTAGAGTTTAATAGGATTTTTTTTTTTACTCCATTATAAATCAGATGTTTATATGCCGTATAGAACGATCTGTCGAGAGTTCGAAAAATGGCTACCGTTAGTATGAACGTTTACCATCTACTGTAAAAAGGAGAAACACAACAATGAATGATACCAGTGATAATCATTTTGTTTTGAACATTTTCACAATGCTTTAACATGGAATAAAAAATGTGTCTTTTAAGTTCATTGCTAAACAGACTTCGATGATCTATAATACATGAATCTTAACGATTTTATTTATCTTTGCTAATTCAACTATACTCGAATGCTTTTCAAGAGCACATTGATCCGATTGAAATATAATTCACTCTACTTTTCTTTTTAGCGGCATTGTTTTTGTTAATATGATGTTCCAATTAACTTTTTTTCTTCACCTATTCAATACATGATCAATCGATAGATTTAATTGAGATCTATTTAACTATGTGACGTGTACTCTTTAAAATTACTTTGTGTTATTCTATGCGATGTTCATTCGTCATAATCTCAATTATCAAGTTAGGAAGAAAAAGCACGTATTTTTTCATATTTTCTGTTTGTCGCTTTTCTTTAAAGGTAAATACCATAGATGAGAGAATTCAATATTTTTT